AAAAAAAAAAAAAAAAAAAAAAAAAAAAAAAAAAAAAAAAAAAAAAAAAAAGGGATAGCGAAGTGGAGCATCTTGTGGAGTTTTGGGGGACCTGCTTTGAAGTAAGCACCTGTTTTTTGTAAAAAAAAAAAAAGAAAAAAAAAAGGGATAGCCAAGTGGAGCACCTTGTGGAGTTTTGGGGGACCTGCTTTGAAGTAAGGGGCAAGGGGCATGAAATGATTCTTCACAAGGACGGAGAGGGGGACGGAATAGGGCTGCTCGATGGGTAGTTTAGGCTGTCTGATGGGTACCGGCTGATGAGGGCGAAACCTGGCGCGATTGGCGTTGGGTACTGCTGGTTCACCTCCTTGAGGATGGAGACTGGAATTCTTGTGGGGGCAAAGAATTTCAGGGTGATGATGGTGCTCGGCCCTTGCTGAGATGAGGTCCTCTGGAGTTCTTTACGAGGACGGAGTTGGGGAGGGCGGATGGGATTTGGGTGGAGGAAGTTGGTGGTGGATGCGATTGGAGCTGAGTATCACGGCGGGTACCAGCCACTAGCCGCTAACTCCACCTGGATCAGCCTGAGGTTGTTCCCTTCGATGATGGAGGCAGGATTGTTTTGCTTGTCTTGTCTGCTTATCTGTTTCAGGGGTTACAGTTTTTCCTGAATTTGACTTATCCTACTTCTGGGAGAATATTGCTGAAGTAATTTTTCATTAGTATCCATTTCATTACCATCAAAGGACGTTCCCTGTTCAGTTAATCCCCTGGATTCCAGGGTAATCAATGCTGGCAGGGGGAGGTCCTCTTAACTTTTCTCAAAAAAGATCTGTGTTGAAGCATAAATGTCATACTTGCGGCGCATCAGTGCGGTGCGCGATGCGGTGCGCGGTGCACACCTGTGCCGTGTGCGCACTACTGCGCAGTGCGCAGTGCGCTGCGCGGCACTCCGGTGCGCTGGGGCGTGCGCGTGACGAGCGCAATTTCGCGCATGGTGCGCCGTGGTATACATGGATTTTTTTTTTTTTTTCCCTTCGTGATACACCGAGTTGACGAGTTAACCTCGTAGAGAGAGAGAGAGAGAGAGAGAGAGAGAGAGAGAGAGAGAGAGAGAGAGAGAGAGAGAGAAGAAACAGTGTGCTGACACTATCGGACCGAAGAAACCGCCCTTATCAACGGGCAACATGAATCCGGAAGCGGGGCGACATTCACAAAGGACAAATAATATGG